AACCTTTATCAGATTTGATGGTTTTGTTACAGACTTTTCAAAAAAGTGTTTTGCTTTTCTTTCACAAATGTGGGATTAAATTGTTAAAATGTACAAAACAGTGATGTCATGTTTTGTGACGAGGACCCAGGCACAGAGAGACTTGATGAATTTAAGAATCTTATGACTCAAGAAAGAAATTTGCAGACTTGCACAGAGATGGTAAAATTACGATGACTGATAATGGAGATGAATACAACAGACGATGAGGACAGGGAGGAGCAGGGGTTTAAATGCACCAAGGAGACAGTCAGAGAGAACTCGGGACAACTGGAGACATTTAAGGATGCAGGGACTGACAGAGACAGGGAAGACGTCTCATCGTGATGTGTAAAGTTGATCTTGGCTGACCGGGCAGCTCTCTGGGTGCTCAGCACCCCCAAAGCTCTGATCCTAGAATCGCCCCTGTTGATAAGTATGAAGAAAACTGAACACACTGGATTCAGTAAACACTAAATCAAGCAGGGCCGGAAACATGCTGCACTAAATTAAATGCCTTTGCAAATTCTGTGTCAGTGCAGTTAGAGATCAATATGTAAATGATCAAAATTACCAATAACAGATTCATTCAATAAATGATTGCAGGATTTGGGAGGTCAACAGATTAGAATACAGTAAACTGGATATTCCTATTGAATTTTAAAGATAGTAAATCATAGGAGTTAAAAGAACCAGGATTAAATGGGTTTAGATAATCCTCATGAATCACTGCTGTTCCCCCACCGTGGGCTTCGGGAGGCAGAGCTCTCGGTTCTGCTTTGAGTCTCAGTGACAAAGAAAGTGTCTGATTTCTGAGAGGTAACAAAATTGTTACGTATGAAATATGTATTAGATCTGGATCTACTGTTAAAAGGGCCAATAACTGAAGTAGAGACAGGCTAGAGACAAAGAGGTTTACAGCACACAGTAATTAGATTACTGAGTCTGGGTGCACAAATATGGACAATATGAAGGTTTTTCTGTTTATGCCGTATATTCAGGTACATAAAGTCTAACACTACTATACGTGGCTCACATACAGAGTAAAATGGTTGGTGAGGAGTTGAAAAGATTAGAAAATATTTACTTTTAAACTTTCCAAATAAATTATTAGTTAAAAATGTTCCTCCATGTGTGGTGGGCCCTGTTTGTGGAAACTCGATTTGTTGAGCTCAAAGTATTTTTTAAAAACAAGACAAAAATAAAGAAATTATTAAAGCTCAAGAAAAAGGACTGTGTGCATCTTTACGACATGTTTCTAGAACCTTGTTGATGGGAGCACTGGTAATGCTGGTTAGTAAACTAGTAACCAGCAGGCAGGCTGTCAGCCGACACATGATGTTCTTGACTGATTTCCTTCGAGTATTTATTTCATGTATAATTTTATCTGTAATTAATGAATCTCCTCGATGTGACTGTTGTTGTTTTTGCTGTATAAATTTACACACACACACACACACACACACACACACACACACACACACACACACACACACACACATATTTATTACAGGAGGTGATTGTCATTGGGAGGAAACTGAAATAGAATGTCTACATGAATGTCTATATGTGGAATTTCTTTTCATCGTTGGCTTTATTAAATACGTAAGTATAAAGTTTGAGCATTTCAGATGGTTCAATGCACTCGAGGTCATTCAATTTAATTCCAGCATCATACATGCTCAGCATTTCTTACCACAGTTGTTGCAGTTACACATTTGTTGTGACTCTCTATCATTTTATGTTCTAATATACTTACATTTCAGCACGTGCTGAGAATTTTGAAGGTTTTCTTTCACAGTTTCTGTTGATCCTCAACATCCCTGCTGTGGCCTTTACAGCCTGAACTCAGAAGCTTATGTGTTCTCCAATATTTGATCATTTCCAAAAGTAAGAAATAAAGTCAGTGGATGGTTTAAGGAAAGAAAAGATTTAATGACTGATTTAATATCTTTGGAAACTATTTCACTAATATATTTTTTCAAATAAATTCCCATATAAAAAAAAAATTATATTTAACATTTCTGTGTATGAAGGAATATGAAATGGTAAATATGGAAAGGTAATTAAGTGAAACAGAAATTAGTTTTCAGAGGAGGACATTATGATCACTAGATCATAACAAAAACCTGAGAATTATGAATAACTTGATAATGTAACACTTGGCACAGTTTAATCAATTAAGACAAATTTATACAACAAAGTTTGATGCTGCACAATTCAGCAGTTTTTCTTTCTTTCTTTTTAAGAATATTGAATTTGTTGAAAATGATTTAATATTTATAAAAATGTTAATCTTAAGCTTTAAAAATTAAGACTATTTTAATAAAGGCTTAAAGCTTTTTCACCTGATAATCAGACACAATTCATGTTTTTTTTCTCCTGTAAATTTTTACTGTAATAAATCAGAGTTAATGCAGGAAAAGTGTGAACATCAAAAAAACAAAACGGTGAAACGATCAAACCTGAGCATTTTAAGCTGCTCTGTTCATTTGACCTGTTTGAGCCTGTGTGAAACAAACAGACGGCACTCAACGGATGTTCCCTGAAATTAAAACACATAAAGAATAAAGCCTTGATGCTGTAATAAACGTTACTGAGCTTGAACAATAAGAAAAAGCACAAATATGTATGTAGATGATTTTTGACTTTTGTCCAGCAGCAGAATGTCTGATGACAAATAAAAAGAGTTTTAATTTTATAATAACAGAAGTTAATACAAAAAGGACGTTACTTTACAATTAAAACAAACAACAAAAACAAATATAATGAATAGAATAATATAGTAATAATATATAATGAAATAATAATAATGTAATCGAATGCATTTCATTACTTTTAATATTGTATTGTCTTTGTATTACAGTATAAAGCACCTCGAGGCAGCTGTTGTGATTTGCACAATAATTAAAAACTGAATGCTGTCATATCCTAGTTTGTATGGTTTGAATGTTTTAGATATTGTGTTTTATTCAGTTATTTTTATTCAGATATATTGTTGGGAATTTTCTTGCCACACAATGAATTGTTATCAAACTGTTGGAATTAAAGTAAAAACTATTGATTTAAGTGAAGTAATAACCGTCTGTAGAGTATTTATAACAAAAAAGATTTTTGAATTTATTACATAATCTGATCAGAAGCAATTAAAAATGAACGGGACTGAAACGTGCACGAACGACAGACTCATATCCTCCCTCATGTAATGATCCCTCCCTCGCCCCGTCTCTCCCTCGCCCTGTCCTCAGATGCCTTTTGGCCTACTTTCGGCTGCAGAGAGCTCTAGTGTGTGTGAGCCAAATCTCTGCGTGGATTTAAAGGCAGAGCGTGCGAGAGATGGAGGCAGAGCGAGAGACAGCGAACCGGGTGACCAGAAAATATCATGTCAAATAAGGTATTCGGCTTTGGGCTGTGGGGACGCTTGCTGTGCCTCCTCATATTTGTTCCAGTGGTCACGGCTGACAAACAGATTTAATCAGCTTCTTTGGTGCAACAGTCCTAATCATCTTTGAATCATTAAGACATTAGAATCAATACCAAAAGAAATACATTTGATTAGATGGTAATCTGTATTTGATTTTTCCTCATTTTACATTAAAAAAATGCAGAAATTGAGTCCCAAGTGACAGTTTTGGAAAATAAGCACGACTCTAAAACCAAACGTCAAAATATCCTGTTAAAAATCATGTTTTACAACGAATTTCCACTCTGCTGTTTGTTTACTATAATTCAAGCATTTCATGGCAAATCACAGGACAAGTGTTAGATGGACTCACGTGGAGGTGAGAGGCTCGGGACATCCAAGTGTGGAAACAGTGAAATACATCCAAATATGTGCCCGCAGGTTTAACATAGTGTGTGTTTGTTAGATACTCATTCTTTAAATGACTCTGCATGTAAAGAAAGCCACTAAAGTCAATCCTGATGAACTTACCTGATAACTGTGAGCAGAAACTGACATGATTCGTTATTATTGGCTGACTCTAGCATTCAGCTCACTGAGAGAAATGTGTAGTTACAAATGTGATGTTTCTTTAAGAAGTGAAAATAAAAAGAAGACGACAAATTTGAACGATCTATTAGTGCGTCACTTTATTCAAAGATTATTTCAATGAACACAAAAAAATGTTCCTTTATTCTAAATTGATAGTTTGATTTTCCCAAAAAATACACTATTATTTACAGCATCATCTTCCCTGTATGTGTGTGTGTGTGAAGCTATAGCTATGATCTGATTTCACCAACCATAGGATGAACTCTGGAGAAGGTACAGGCCCCGTGTACTCTCATACCATCTTCGCACTCACTAATCCTTCTGCAAAAGAAGCTTTATGTGTCCATAATCCGTCTCGTTATCACCGTCCAATATTAAACCAACAGCTATGTGGAAGTAACAAGTCCAGACAGAACTCTCGGGGTGTTCAAAGTACTTCTTGGAAATGTGGTGAATCAGTAAGGATGGGGAGGCAAGATGAGGTAGAATGAACTGTGCTGCATGGACCGGTGGAACGTGAGGATTCTCCTGTGACCTATGTATCAAATTTAATAGTATATTTTTTGAGAATATTGTTACTGTTAGGTTGGAGGTACTAGTACACTGCATATATCACAGTTTTAGCCGTACCACTTAAAGGTACTGTGTTGCATTGTGCTTAAACCGGACTAGACATTTTTTCAAACTGTATAAAAATTCACCACGTGTGGTGTTGGACTGTTAACCATGTTGACATGTGACCAAAGATACTGGGGTACGTTAGCACTGATATCTTAAACACTGCACTGCTCACAAAACACTGCATGCTAGTGTTTGCATGTCAACAATTATACTGAAGTTTGAAGCAGAAAACTAGAAATCGCCCAACACAGTGAATAAGTTTCATATATGAATAAGAAACACGTTAGCACATCTGTGTTAGCATTCTTCATTTCCCATAAATGTTAAAATGTTGGTACATTTCGTCAAAGAACAGAAAACAAGGACATTTCATTAAGACTTTATTTACATGTTTACATTACAGAGACATGTGAAGCATTAAAAAGCAGCTCCTACTGTCACAGATCACACGCATGTCCTGGTCAAACTATAAGCTATAAAAGAAAGATGTCTACACAGCGTGTGGGCAGCCGGTTGTTATATGCATCTCGTGTTCATGAACTGTTCCCCGACATGTCCTGACCTGGTCTAAAAGGCTGCAAGAGAGAGAGAGAGAGACAAAGTCATTTAAAAGCTGTTACACAATGAAGCCCGAGCACAGCCTGAAAAACACAACCACTACACTGACACCAAGAATGTGCTGATTTTCCTCTAAAAGCAACAAAGAAACACTTATTGCTATCTGCACACTTTTGATAAATCATGCAAACATTAATGTAGGTCCAGTCAGAAAAAGACTCATGTTTCACAACAATATAAAAATGTCTCATTTAAAGACATATGGACAGAGGTGAAAGAAGACTGACATCGTCCTCGTCAGCTGTCTTTTTTAATTTATTGTTTTTAAGGAGATCCTGTAACACGTCTCCGTAACTCACAGAAACAAAAACAACAGTAGGAGCTTTAATAGAGTATAAAAATACTCCCAAAGATGAAATAAAAACACGTTAGACGGCCGAATCTCACGCTTCACATAGAGCTTCTATTAATAAGTGTAAGAGTTGAAAGAATTGACAGTCACGTGAAATGACAGCAGTGAGGTTTTATTTAGACATGTAGGACACATCAGAAGGAAGAGAAAAAACTTCTATATTTATTCAGAAGAAATTGAAGTATCTATATGAACAAACGTGGCGTCCAGATTCACCACAGTCGGTTTGAATTAAACAAATAATTCCACAAACTGAGATAACACAGGAGGGTGAATCGAAGTTTACATCAGAATATAATATAAAACAAATTGTGACAAATAGTCTAAAAATAGCACAACTGGATCATCTGGAAATATCCAAAAACACACGTGTGTGTGGATTAATGGAGCACATTAACCAGTCGGAAAACTGGGTTTGGAGAAAAAATGGTGAATTGAGTCACACGAGACTGCTGGGCAGGTCGTAACAGGCTCTGTACAGTATGTCGAGCTGCAGTGCTGTTCAGTAGCTTGGCTTAAATCTGAGATGCAGCATATTTCAGTATCGTGTCGGTTATAACGAGCGCCGGTTTTGTTAAATGATCTAACAGGAACTTCACACACGATACAAATTCTGCTCTTCGCTCCGTTTCCACTAGAAGCACATTGTGAAGGCTACAACAAAAGCATCACAGCCACCACAGATGAACAGAGCAGCATGAAGCTACAATACCAAGACAGTTCACTGAGACAGGAATTAGATGGAAGTTTATTGCACCTCAGACAGCTCCAGTACTGGGACAGAGTTTTAAGCTTTAAATCGCGCCCTCTATTTCACATTTAAGGTAATCGGCGCCAAAGAAGGATCGCAGCTCTGAACGTTCTTCATGAACACACGTCAGAGGACACCTGTTCAGTTTGAACAGAAAGTCGAAGGTGCCTCGTCCAGGTCGGCGCGCACATGTGGATCCTGCAGATCCACATCCACTGCAGATCCTGCAGATCCACATCCACTGCAGATCCTGCAGGATTTTCTGCTTTAAAAGAAAGAATAAAACAATTCAGTGTTTACAGCGTGACTGTTCAGTTTATCTTAATCAATAAAATGCTTCTGTACTGATACTTGTTAGTGTTTAGAAAATAAAAGCTTTTGCTTTAATAACATTCTGAAAAGATTTTCACATTATCGCTCAACAGGAAGAGTTTTTACGACTTTTATCGACTCCAGCTTCAGAGGAAAGACTGAAATACAGAACAAGTCATTTTTACCGTTATAAACAAAGCTCATAATCACTGTTATGTTGTAATAGGAGGCTGCACTGATTCATAGAAGCAAAAGCCTCAAATTGTGTCACAGACTTGATCTCATCCAGATCCAGCTGCTGCATCGCTCTCCCATCATCAAATATGTTTCTGATATCATCTCCCCGACCAATTGAAATAAATATGTTAAAAAAAAGAAATGATGAGCACAGCTTTCTGGTTCGTGTGCTTCGGCATGTTTTCCTTCAAATGTACAAAAACCACCAAAAACACACGAAGATGATGATGATGCACAGAAGGGTTACACGTTGACTCATCGGGGGATTTCCAGCCTTTCTTTAAATGCAAAGTGACCTGCAGCAGGACGACACAGATGGGCTCTGCTGCCGCTCGTCACTACCTGGCTCTTTATTGGAGGAGCTTTTTAATGCACAGACGTGCGCCTGCGTGTGTGTGTGACTGTTGACATACTGTGGGCGACTCTCAGATTAATGAGGTTCGTTAGTCTGTAGTCTGGTTAATCTGCTGCTGTAATGCGGCTGTGCGTAAAGCTCCTCTAAACTTGCCTCGTTCACACAGGCTTGCGCACCAACACACCCAGACAAACGACAAGTGATGCTGAAAATGCACCGGTCCATCCCACCAGCGCATTTCAAAGCCGCCCAGATGGCAGACAAAACAGCGTACAGTTTGGCAGTCGGTGCCCAGACCGGGCGAACAGAAATGAGAGAAACAATGAAAGCTCTGGACGTGCCCCAAATTCTAAATCTTTGGCCAAGCTGCAGAGCCGACGAGAGCCTCAGCAATTCCAGCTACGCGGCGAGAAAATCGGCCCCAGGTGTGCAACAGTTAGAAAAAAACAAAAAAATGCCCTCTGCTGCTCTCAGATGCCGTGGGTAGCGAGCATTGGCCGGCACGAGAGGACCCACGTGGAGCTGCGACGCCATCTTGTTTCACCGACAGACTTGGAAGGGGCAGTGATCCCCTCTGCAGTATGGGGAACACACACACACACATCACATTACAGACGTGTTGACAGATAGTGTAGGAAGCACACTGGTTATTGATGAATGAGCTTCTCCCGCCTGCAGCAGAGAGCGGCTGTGTGTCGAAGGGAGTGGCAGAAAAAAAGCTGCAGATTGGCGAGCAAGGCTGATGCAGAGGGAAACCATCCCCGCTGCCACAAAGAGGCTCATCGCCAGCCGTCTGTCGCCTACGTCGATGCATTTTCACAGCGTGCCGATCGAGCTTTCTCACTTTTACTCTGAAATAAGCTGACTCGATTTTCACGAGAGGTTTTAGGCATAACCAACGGACCGTCCTCACAAACCCACACCAGGGTCGGCCTTCAGCAGTCTGTCTTAACGGAAAGTTCGTCTACATTAAACAGGATTACAATCAACTGTTGCCATTCCCGGCTGAATTTTGCAAGTCTGGAGACTAAAACTAGACTAGAGTAAAACCCTGGGATTGTGTGGTGCAGCAGCTTTGCAAGGCACGCGTTATTCCAGACCACCACTCCAGACTCTGCTGTGGAAAAGCAAGCACAGAAACACATTTTCTATAAAGATCCTAACATAATCTGGGTGATGGAGCAGCTTATCGTAGCTGGTACATGCCCAGCAGTCACACTGTAAGTGTCTGTCCTCCATGTCTGGCTCAGCTTTGGGGACACAGTGTACAGACAGTGTGCAGAGGAGCCGAACAATGGACGACGCAAGCCTGCGGCTCCTTTGGAGCTTAGCGGCTAGGCACTAACTTGCTCCAGGTTAGTATGCGCTCACTGAGCTGAGCGAATCAAAAGCGATTTGGAGGCAGAGAGAATGTAGAAGAAGAGACGGGGCTCACAGAGGCGTTACATAAGACAGCAGGGTTCAAGCTACAGTCCATGTTGGTTCATCAACAACACGATGAAAGGTTCTTCTGATCGGAGGCAAAGCCCTGAGAGGGTGAAGCTCAACACATCGGTATATTATACCACATAACTGTCAATGCAAGAAACACAAGTGAAGTGGAAACCGTTACACTGAAGCATTTACTAATGAAAATAAGTTTAGCATTACGGTCATCGACCCTGCTAATTACCTTGCTAAAATATGAAACGCACAAATCTAGCACTGAACTTTCTGCATGAAGGGAAGTATCCATGGAAATAACTTATCATCAATACCCTGCTACGCTCCATTAATGCCACAGGAGTAGGAGTTCAGGCAGATATTGAAGAATCAGGTAGTCAAAGAGCTGCTGCTGTTCTGCAAATGGGTATCGCGAGAGCGACCTGCAGGGTGGCGTGGATGTGCAGATCTCACCCATTAACCAGCAGCTGGGTGAGAAATGAAGCTCGTGCAACAAAAGCCACCACGTGCCCCTATGACCAAGTCAGCAGGTAGGATCCTCGTTACTATCGATGACAAAGTGTCGCAGCTAGACACCAGAGTCCAATCAGAATCGACTCAGCAGCTGCACCGTTCATTCATGGATCGTGGTCGGTGGTGGTATCATCGTAGTTTAGACATGCCCCGGTGATGGCTGCTAGCCGCCTGCCAGTGTTTTCACGTTGTCACCTTTGCTTTGCGTTGGCACGCGCGAATAAGCGTTAATGTTGGCGAGGGTTTGCTGAGGTCAAGCACATCATGTACAGAGCTGTCATAGTCACGCTCTCGACATCCCTCTGTGCTGCTCTCAAGTCACGGACGCCGAGCAAGTATCCAGGCCTGCTGCAAAAGGGCTGCAAGACTTATCACTGTGCACAAGACGAGACTGACACCATCGCCATGGCATTAGCACCATCCATCACAAGCTGCTCAGCAACACCTATTGGCTTTAGCAGGAACGTGTACTGGTTTTAGCGAGCATTGTTAGCTTCAGTGCTCCACCTGAAGCTGTTTTTAAAAAAATTAGTAACTAACAGTAAGTATTAGTCATTATTAGCCATTACAGCTCTGAGTGGGCCCTCTTTTTCAGACCACGTGACACGAAAACTCAAACACAGAATCCTGCGGAGATTCATCAACATGTTACTTTAGCGTAAAGCTTTTCTATGCGGTCCAACATGGTGCTTGTGGTCCATACTGCGAGAATCGAGCCTCAGCTGTGACAAGATGATCGCTTCCTGTCACCCCTCTGCACACCTTTAGCTCAGGCGGCCTCAGCTCCGTCACATGACTTCAATAAAGCGTGCACGATGCTACACTCCCATCAACTGAAGCCCAGATATTTGACCAGCTCTACTTGATTTCATGTGCTGTGAAGAAGCGAGGCGGCAAAGCGGGCAGACGGGAAGAGCGAAAACTCCAGGTAACAACATCATGCCGGGGTGTGAGTCAAGCTGTGAAGTGTGACATGGTTAACGCCTTAGCTCACTGCGCCACGGCCCCCCCCCCCTTCGGTCGCCATTGTTGGAGGCAGGAAGGTGCGGGAGATAGCGCTGCCTGTGCATCTCTCTCAGCTCCCGAGAGCCTAACCCGTGGACATGAAAGCACAACGTCACAAGTTAGGGTCTCAGGGATGGAGAAAGACGCGTATCCTAAACGAACTCCTCTCCCTCGTTGCACAGCTGCTTTGAACCCTCTCGGAAATCACTCGTATTCCTGCGCAGGAATAACCTCCGTGTGCTGGACTTGCTTATAAGTCAAATGAGGACTCGGAGCGTCTCCTGCATACAGAGTGAGCTCTGCCTCGCACAGCCTCAGAGGCAATGCATTAGCTGCAAGCTCCACAGCCCCCTATGCATTCGTGAGCATACAACAAGTGCAAGCCTCAGCCAGACACAACACTGGCCAGCCCCCCTCCCTCAACTATCTCTCTCCCCCTCCCCCACCTCGGCTGAACAATACAGCACTTTGAAAAATGCCTCCTGCCATCAGGTACAGAGCCTGCTGCCGTACTGTATGTCCAAAGATCTGCGAAGGTCTGCTTCTGTCCTTTAGTAACCATTACTTGCAGGAGATGCAAAAGACAAAAGCCCCGCGTGGATGCATTGGCTTCAGCATTGAAATTTGCGCCAGACCAGTGCAGCATCTCACAGTCCATCTCACACGATGACTTGCATGCTCGTCCGAACGACATGCCTTTTACCTGGTGCAACAAAAATCGTTTGGCGACCGCTCAGTGCTTACAAGTGCACATCCCTGTTCAGAACAAGCTTCCCAATCCTCCCGAGAGGCTGCGCAAGGAAAAAGACAAGCCTGATGACAAAGCTCTACAGTTCCTTTTTGCTACCATGGTGGTCTAAAGCGTAGGAAACAGATGGGGAGCGGAGAGGAAGAGAATTTGTTGGTATCGACTCACCCTCCCCTTTGGATCCAGGATGCCCCAATCGCTCGCTGCTTTCCGAGCTCACTGCCTGCTCAGGGAGGGGAAGAAAGAGGAGACAGAGAGAAAGAAAGCTCAGATTTAAACTTACAGCACGCCAGCAAGGCTCCGGTAACGCTCAGAAAAAGAGATTTCCTTTCATTTTATTTGAAGAAAAAATGATGAGAGCGGTACAAAGCCGAGGCCGGTCAGTCCTGCTGGAGCTCAGGCGGAATAAATAGCGAGCGGCACGGAGACGAGAAAGATGAGGATGGGTGGTAGGACTGAGCCGGAATGAACCATGTGCACGTTCCCTCTCCCTCTATCACTTTGCTCTTGCTGCTCTCTCTCTCACACACACACACGCACGCAGTCCGGTCAGGACAGTCGCTGAGACCGTTTCCAGGAAAACAAAGCACTGCAAGGATGCAATAGTTAAGCTTAGGTAAGACAGGTAGGCGAGGAGGGAAAGAGAGGCAGCGAGAGAAGGAGGTAAAAGAAGAGAGCTGAGCCTCAGAATCAGCGCTCACAGCCAGTGAAGCATGCCAGCTTCTGCCTCACCGACGTGAGGAGGGGCGAGAAAGGGGCGGGGGGGGG